AGTGTCTTTAGATCATTTTCATGTACTCCATGGGCAATATCTTACTGCCTGGAACCAGTCCAGTGATAAATAATGTTTGTTGAATCTATTAAAGAGCACATTTATAGGCTTTAATTTATAGGCATTTAGGAAATAGTCTTCAAGAGTTTTAGGAAGAGCAAGATTTGTCTGAGTGATTTTAGGAATAGTTCCATGTCAGGGAGTTACACAGATGAACAGCCTCTTGATTTTTTTTAAAGATTTATTTATTTGTTTATTTGAAAGTCAGAGTTATACCAAGAGAAAAGGTGAATCAGAGAGAAAGAGAGGGGAGTGATCCATCTGCTGATTCATTCCCCAACTGGCCACAATGGCTACAGCTGTGAATATCCTTAGCCAGGAACCAGGAGTTTCCTCTGGGTCTCCCACTTGATTCCAAGGGCCCAAGTTCTTGGGCCACCTTTTACTGCTTTCCCGGGACATAGCAGAGAGCTAGATCAGAAGTGGAGCAGCAGGAACTTAAAACGGTGACCTTATGGAATGCCGGAACTGCAGGTAGCAGCTTTACCTGATATGCCACAGTGCCAGCCCCCGGCCACTTGATTTGAAGTCAAGAAACATGGATATGAATTCCAATGTTACCACTCAATGTATGACATTACAAAATCAGATTCTTTGGATCTTGACCTGTTCTGAGGTAGAAAAAGAGTAGGATTAAATTATTTCATATTTTGCTTCTAACCCAGGTCTGGAATTAATTATTTAAATTTCTCATAACTTTGTTCTGAATTTAATTGATTCAAATAATGACATTTCAAATTTATGTATAAGTATTTTAAATTAAAGAATAATTAGGCATTATTTAATTAAATGAGCTAAGTCCAGCTGTTTGGACTAAAATGTTATAAAAATTAATTAACATTTTCACATTGAACGTTAATGGCCTGAACTGTCCAGTTAAAAGACACCGATTGGGATTTGCTTCTTAACCTGATGCAATTTTAAATGATGCTTAATTTTGTTTTTAAATTTCAAATCCTAGCTCTTACCCATACATGGAACAACAATGAAATTGTACATGTAATTCGCCACTTTGCTACACTAACATTGTTCCAGGGGTACTTATGATGTACTTTTGAATTTTCTATACATGCAATAATGACATTTGCTAGCAGTTTTATGTCTTCCTTCCCAATATGTATGCATTTTGTATCCTTTCTTTGTGTTACTGCACTGTCTAGTAATTCCACCATAATATTGAAAAGTAGTGGTGAGAAAAAGACACTTCCCCCTTTCTCCAACTTAAGGGAAAACTGTCCAATTTCACTATTAAAGCTGGTTTTGGTAGATATTCTTTATCTAGATGAGGAATTTCTCTTCTGTTCCTTGTTTGCTCAGTTTTTTTATGCCAAATATCTTCTACAAAAGTTGATGTAATCATTTAACATTTTTGCAGTTTGTGTAGTATGTCCAATTTATTGTTTTTTTTAAATGCTGACAGCCTTGCTTACGTGGGATAAATACCACTTGCTTGTACTACATAAAATTGTTGGATTTTACCTATTATTATTTTGCTTTCTATTTTTATTTTGCATCTTTGTTCATGTGAAATGTTTTTCTATAGTTTTCCTTTCTTAGAAGTTTAACAAGTTTTTTATTAAGGTAATGCTGATTTCACCAACTGAGTTATAAATTATTATCTACACTTCAGCTCTCAAGAGGAAATGGTAGAGAGTTGTCGTTTTTTGTACTTGGAATGTATGGTAGAATTCAACTATGAGTTACCCTTGCCTGATATTTTCATTCCTTTTTTTTTGGTGGCGGTGGGAAGAAGTATGCATCTTTGATTCAATTCTTTTAAAGGAAATGGGCCTTGACTGATTATATTTCTTTTTGTGTAAGTATTGGCAATTTGTATTTCAAGCAATTGTTCTGTTCATTTAAGTTATCAAATTTTTGTGCATAGTGATTTTAGTAGCCCCTTATTATCCTTAAGTTTCCATGGAACATTAATGTTCATTTCCAGTGATGGCCACTCTTTGATTTCTGATACTGGTAATTTCTGTCTTAATGAGCATGGAGAGAGGTTTATGAATTTGTTATTTCACTGAAGTATCTTTTGGTTTTGCTGATTTTCATATATTATTTTCCTATTTTTCAATATTATTCATTTATACTTCAATTTTCATTCATTTTCTTTTTCATGCTTCAATTGTTCTTCTTGCTACAGTTTCTTAAAATTTATTATCTGGGAACATTCTTCATGTGTTTTGTGAACATTCACAGTTTCAGGTGTATTTTGTTGTCCAGACTGTGGTCCATCCATGGAAGCTTGATCTTGTTGGACAAAGAATTCTGTAAATATTATTAGACCAAAGTAATTGATAAGGCTATTAAAGCCAAATTTATGCTTCTGGTTTTTTGCATTTTTGAACAGCCAGTTAATGGAAGATTGATGTTCCCAAATATAATAGTGGAACTTTCTCTCTCTCCTTGAAATTTTGTCAATTTTTAAAAAAATATTTATTTATTTGAAAGTTAGGGTGTCTGGGTAGAGCAGGAGTGGGGAGAGACAGAGCACACGCGCACGTGCAAGAGAGAGAGAGAGAAAGAGAGAGAGAAACAGAAAGAGAGAGAGATCTTCCATTCACTGTTTCACACTTGAAATGACTGCAATACCTGGAGCTGGGCAGGCTTAAGCCAGGAATTCCATCCTGGTCAACCATACAGCAGAAAGACAGAGAGATGGATTGAGAGGGGAGCATCTAGAATTCCAAACAGCACTCCAAAATGGAATACAGGTGTCCCAAGCAGTGGCGTACCCTGCTTTGCCAGAATGCCAACCCTCATTCTGTAGGTTTTTGAAGTGTATTTTGCAGTTCTGCATTTAGGTGTATACACAAATTTGCTAGGTTTTAAAGCAATGGCTGCCTAATCATTAAGTAATCTTCCTGTTTGTCTCTGATAATTTTCCTTGTTCTGAATTCCATTTATCTGAAATTAGTGTAGTACCTCCAGCTTTCTTTCAATTAGTTTTAACACATCTTTTGCTATCGTTTTATTTGAACTTGTCTGAATCAGTATATTTAGTGAATGTCCAAAAGACAAGAGGTAGCCAAACATTGTTATTATACTCACTTTGTCAATCTTTATCTTTTAATGAATATATTTAAAAGATTCACATTTAAGCCTTTAAATAAGATGGTTTTCATCCTATTTCACAATGGTTACTGTTCCTCTTCCCTGTCATAGCTAATAAATGATGTTTCTAAGCCCTCTACTGTGAAAAGTTGGTGGGATTCCTCAAGATAAAGCAAAGTATTGGATCCCTAAGTCCATGTTGCCTGGGAGTTTCCCATTCATGGTAGGAATGGCCTCCAGCCACTGGGTAAAATTGCCTTCACACAAAGTTACCCTCTAAGTGCTTCAGCCAGGGCTCTGTTCCAGATAAGCAGGTCCCAGCTGTGATTCCAGCTTTACGACCTTTGATGATTCCTGGGTGCTCATTGCATTGTAACTGCAACTCCTTAGTGTGCCCCGAGAAGCTGTTGATATTTGTTTTGTTTAGCTTATTATTGTTGTAATGAGGAGAGTAATGACTTTCAAGTCTTTTCATTTCGGAAATGATACTTGAAAGAGCTTCCACTTTGACTATGACATTGTCTAAATAAGATCGGCGTTGGAGCCTCAGGTGATTACTGACGCCATAAATAAGAGTGTCAATTGTTATATCAACAACAGGAGTCACTGTGCATCTACTCCCCATGTAGGATCTCTGTCCTTAATGTGTTGTACTATGTGAATTAGCGGTATAACTAATACTCAAACGGTACTTTACACTTTGTGTTTCTGTGTGGGTGCAAACTGTTGAAAACCTTACTTAGTATATACTAAATTGATCTTCTGTATATAAAGATAATTAAAAATGAATTTTGATGTGAATGGGATGGGAGAGGGAGAGGGAGATGGGATGGTTGCAGGTGGGAGGGAGGTTATGGGGAGAAAAAGCTGCTATAATCCAAAAGCTGTACTTTGGAAATTTATATTTATTAAATACAAGTTAAAAAAAGAAAAAAAGAAAAAAATACAAAGAGTGGGAATAAGAGAGGTAAGAGATGTGCAATTCGGGACATGCTCAAGCTGACTTACCTCAAACGGTAGACTTAGAAACATACCAGGGGATTCCAATTCAATCCCATCAAGGTGGCATGTACCAATGCCATCTCACTAGTCCCAGTGATCAATTTCTGTTCACAATTGATCGTAATGATAGGACTAAGAACCAAAGGGATCACATAAACAAGAATAGTGTCTGCAAATACCAGCTGATAGAATAAAAAAGGGAGAGAATGATCCAACATGGGAAGTGAGATACACAACAGACTCATAGAATGGCAGATGCCCTAAACAGCACTCTGGCCTCAGAACCAGCCCTTAAGGCATGCAGATCCAGCTGAAAAGCCCATGAGAGTATTTCAGGCATGGAAAGCCAAGACACTCTGGGGAAAAAAATAACCTAAATGAAAGATCTCTGTGAGTGAGATCCCAGTGGAAAGAACGGGTCATCAAAGAAGGAGCTACCTTTCTCTGAAGGGAGGAGAGAACTTCCACTTTGACCATGGCCTTGTCTAAATATGATCAGAGTCGGTGAACTCAGGGGGCTTCCATAGCCTTGGCAGCTCATGACAAGAGCCTAGGGTGATTACTGATGCCATAAACAAGAGTGTTAATTTGTTAAGTCAACAACAGGAGTCACTGTGCACTTATTCCTCATGTAGGATCTCTGTCCTTAGTGTGCTGTACATTGAGATTTAATGCTATAACTAGTACTCAAACAGTATTTTTCACTTTATGTTTCTGTGTGGGAGCAAACTGTTGAAATCTTTGCTTAATGTATGCTAAACTGATCTTCTGTATATAAAGAGAATCGAAAATGAATCTTGATGTGAATGGAAGGGGAGAGGGAGTGGGAAAAGGGAGGGTTGCGGGTGGGAGGGACATTATGGGGGGGAAGCCATTGTAATCCATAAGCTGTACTTTGGAAATTTATATTCATTAAATAAAAGTTTAAAAAAAATTAATTAACATTTGAGTCTTAGTTAATTGTGTGAACACTGGTCTTGGGATATCAGATAATTTAAAAAGGAAAACATGTAACCACTGCCTACACATACATTTTTTAACAGTTGTTTTAATCATGCTGCTAGCAGATGGACTATGATTTGTTACAGAGTTCTGCCTTATATCCAGATTTCCCCTTTGACCTATTTCTGGTGCTTTTTGGAATTAACTGTATATTTACTTCTCTTGGCAAATATGTGAACAGACAAAACTTGTATCAGTAAGTAACATTGTTACCCACTAACTCCTTGTTGGTCACTCTTGCTTGTAGGGCAGTGAAAATAGAATAAAGGACATTTTAGGTAGAAATGGGTGGAAACTGAGCTGGGACATTTTCAATATCTTTCTGAACTTTCTTCATGATTTTATCCCAGGGACTTTACTGTGTGAACACGTTTGACAGAGGGTCTGGAAGTTCAAAAGCTCTCATGTAAAAACTCCTAACTGAAGAAGGAATAAATCAATGAGGAAGCTGAAGTCCTGACTGTGTTTCTTTATTCAAAGTTCCTTCAGTCTCAGCTTCTTCACCTGTAACATGGTGTTAGTCTCTGTTGAGGATTTGATGAGGTGATGCATAGAAAGGGCTCACCTGGCACAGTAACCAAAATAATGAATTAAAAGAAACAAAACCAAACCACAAAGAACAGATAATTCACAAAAGTAACAGCTAGTCCGTGTGTGTGTGTAAACTATAAACAAAACCTGGGTGGCACCATGGCTCACTAGGCTAATCCTCCACCTGCAGCGCTGGCACCCCAGGTTCTAGTCCCAGTCGGGGTGCCCGATTCTGTCCCAGTTGCTCCTCTTCCAGTCCAGCTCTCTGCTGTGGCCCGGGAGGGCAATGGAGGATGGCCCAAGTGCTTGGGCCCTACACCCGCATGGGAGACCAGGGGAAAGCACGTGGCTCCTGGCTTCGGATCAGTGCGGTGTGCCGGGTGGCCAGCTGCAGCGGTCATTGAGGGGTGAACCAATGGTAAAGGAAAACCTTTCTCTCTGTCTCTCTCTCACTGTCCACTCTGCCTGTCCAAAAAAAATCTATATGTGTATATATATATATATATACATACATACATATATACATATATACCTAAACAAAACCGAAATTAAAACAGCCACCAGTTAATACCATGTGGCTGTTAAATTAGCAGACATTTATGAATTGAGTGTACTCACTGCTGGCTACTTTAGACTAACTGGGGATTCTCATCATAGGTTGAGAGGAGTATTAGTTGACATGCTTCACAAAATTGTCAGTGTGCAGTAAAGGCATTAAAAATCTTCCTACGCTTGTACCAGATCACATCACAAGGATGTATTTAGACATTGTATTTTGGGAGAGACATTGGCAAGCAGGACAGGACCAAGAAGAGTGTGCCTAAGGTGGTTCTGGTTATGGATTCTTGTTAGGGAAAAGGTGAATCATGTGGGTTATAGCCAAGTATTGAGTAGGAGAGGTAGGGAGATAGCTTTAGTATTCAAAAAGCTGCTTGAGTGAGAGATACTGTTGGTTGCATAAGGGGAAAAATGAGTCAGATTCAAAATGTTTCCAGCCGGTGCCGTGGCTCAACAGATAATCCTCCTCCTTGCGGTGCTGGCACACCAGGTTCTAGTCCCGGTTGGGGTGCCAGATTCTGTCCTGGTTGCCCCTTTTCCAGGCCAGCCCTCTGCTATGGCCTGGGAGTGCAGTGGAGGATGGCCCAAGTCCTTGGGCCCTGCACCCCATGGGAGACCAGGAGAAGCACCTGGCTCCTGCCATTGGATCAGTGCGATGCTCCGGCCATGGCGGCCATTGGAGGGTGAACCAATGGCAAAAAGGAAGAGCTTTCTCTCTGTCTCTCTCTCACTGTCCACTCTGCCTGTCCAAAAAAAAAAAAATATTGTTTCCTAGTTTAAGTCGATGTTTGCCTGGAGAAATGGAGGCCATCTTACTATGGTTTTACATTGTGATGTCATTGGTTTCTTCAAAGTTCTGTAAGTTGTCTTGGCAACTTCCAAGTACACAGTTTCTCAGAGACATCTTAGGATGGGGTAATCATTCACCTCTTCCAGGTAATATATTTTATGTATTTTATAGATGTTTGTGGGACTGTAAATTTCCCTTTAATTGGGAAAACTAAAGTATTTGAAGACTTATGGCATGTGTCATTGTCTTTGATTTTCTTTTTTCTTGAGTCTTTACTTTCCTTTTTTAATGTGCTGTAATAGACTATTTACTACGAATTTTCCACAAGTATTTTAATAATCTATTATTTGTCCCACTGAATTACTGATTTCTAATTGCTAATCACTATATTTCATTTGATAAAACATCTAACTTATGTTTCATCTTTCAGATTACCATTACCTCCGTGTGTTTTAATATCCTAGTCTAAGTTTATCCTTCCATTGTGAACCTGTGAACAAATTAAATTTTGACTAGGAGGTCATGAACTCCAACAAAACTATTTAAGCTCTACTGAAAATTGTCATGCACATATATTTTGAGAAATCTTGAAATCCCTGATAATTTACACTATCCATGTAACCCATTTTTAGAGCCATCTTTTCTTATTTTCTTTTTAAATATTTATTTACTTATTTGAAAGAGTTACACAGAGAAGAGAGAAAGATATCTGCCATCTTCTAGTTTACTCCACAGATTGCTCAACTTTGTGACTGAAATCTGAGTTGCTTTACCATGTTGCACTTCTGCCAGCTATGAACATGATTCCTATTTGTTGCCAATTGTTTGTTTTGTCAAGTATTTACTTTTTTATTTGTAAAGTATATGTACTGATATCTTACTATGGTTTTCATTTGTAATTTCCTAGGGAAATATGATGGTAAACATCTGTCCATGTTTTTATTGGAATCTATTGCTGTAATATAATGTGGTTACTTCTTGGATATTTACCCAGTTTCAGTTTGGATGCATATTTTTATAGCTTTATTTTAAGAAATTTATTTTATAACAATTTATTCAGAAAATACTATTAACATAAGTAGAACAGATTTCATGCATTTCATAGGTAACAGTTCTAAGAATATAACCATATTTCCCTCCCTCAATCCCCTTCCTTCCTCTGTTATTTGTTTTCATCATTTTTCCAAAAACGTAATTTCAATCTGCTTAATAATCACAGGCTTAATGTACCAATAGCCATAAGGTTCAACAAGTAGAAAGTAGTAAGAGCACAGTTCCACAAGAGAGGTAAACGAGAGATAAAAATAACAAATAAAAATGTGTTTGTTTCATCCCTATATTATTTTTGTATCCTATAGTAACTGCCACATATCAGGGAAATCATACGATATATTCAGTAGTCTAGGCAACCCAGTGGGAGTCCGCAGCAGAAACTGAACCAGCACAGACTCTTTGGGTAGAAGCCAGAGATCAGAAGCTAAATACCATCCATTCTGCTCAGCCGTGCAGTATTACTTACCTCCTGAATAAAAAATAAATAAAATAAATGAATGAATAAATAAATAGAGATTTACCACGCATAACCTGAGGATGTCACCATTGCACACCTGTAACCTGGAAGAACCAAGCAGAGCTCTCAGGCCACACCCATCTCAAGCCTCCAAGGCTCCTGCAACAGCAGGAAGTCCACTTAACACAGACACAGTATAAACAAAAATAAAAAAAACTCACAGTGAGGGAAGAAGAATTAACAATACCAACCAACAAACACAAAAATTGAGGGAACAAGATCAACGATGGCACTATGACACATCCAAATAAACAAAACACCCCAAGCCAAGATTATGAAGATGATGAGATAGAAGAAATGCAAGATACAGATTTCAAAAAATATATGATAAGAACATTTAGAAGCTTTCAAAAGCAAATCCTTGAACTACAGAAATCCTTACTGGACAGGATTGAAAATCTCTCTCGTGAAAATGAAATTCTAAGGAACAATCAATGAAACACAGAAACTAGTAGAACAGGAAAGTGTGATAGTGAAGAGAAATCAAAATGAAATGAAGAGCTCAATAGATCAAATGACAAACACAATAGAAAGTCTAAAAAACAGAGTCAGTGAAACAGAAGAGAGAATATCAGACTTAGAAGACAGAGCACAGGAAAACATACAGTCAAACCAAAGAAAAGAAGAGGAAATTAGAAATCGAAAAAAGATGGTTGGAAATCTACAGGATACTATTAAAAAAAAAAAAAAAACCAACATTCGAGTTCTAGGAGTTCCTGAAGGCATGGAGAGAGAGAAAGGATTAGAAGGCCTTTTTAGTGAGATACGAGCAGAGAACTTTCCGGGTATGGAGAAGGACAGAGACATCCTAGTACAGGAAGCTCATAGAACCCCCAGTAAACATGACCAAAAGAGATCCTCACCACGACACGTTGTAATTAAACTCACCACAGTGAAACATAAAGAAAAGATCCTAAAATGTGCAAGAGAGAAACATCAGATTACTCTCAGAGGATCTCCAATTAGACTCACAGCAGACTTCTCATCAGAAACACTACAGGCTAAGAGGGAATGGCGAGACATAGCACAGGTGCTAAGAGAGAAAAATTGCCAGCCCAATATATATATATATATATATATATATATATATATATATATATATATATATATATATATATGTTCATTTGTGAATGAAGGTGAAATAAAGACCTTTCATAGCAAACAGAAATTGAAAGATTTGCCGCCACTTGTCTGGCCCTGCAAAAGATACTTAAAGATGTGCTACACTCAGAAACACAGAAACATGGCCATCAATATGAAAGAAGGTAAAGGAAGAAAACCCACCAGTAAAAGAGCATGGGAAGCTCAAAGCGTATACTAGAAAATATCTCCGGGAAAATGGGAGGGCAAAGTCACTACGTATCAATAGTCACATTAAATGTAAATGGACTTGGCCGGCGCCGCGGCTCACTAGGCTAATCCTCCGCCTAGTGGCGCCAGCACACCGGGTTCTAGTTCCGGTCGGGGCACCGGATTCTGTCCCGGTTGCCCCTCTTCCAGGCCAGCTCTCTGCTGTGGCCAGGGAGTGCAGTGGAGGATGGCCCAGGTGCTTGGGCCCTGCACCCCATGGGAGACCAGGAAAAGCACCTGGCTCCTGGCTCCTGCCATCGGATCAGCGCGGTGCGCCGGCCGCAGCGCGCCGGCCACGGCGGCCATTGGAGGGTGAACCAACGGCAAAGGAAGACCTTTCTATCTGTCTCTCTCTCTCACTGTCCACTCTGCCTGTCAAAAAAAAAAAATAAAATAAAATAAAAAAATAAATAAAAAATAAAAAAATAAAATAAAAAAAATGTAAATGGACTTAACTCTTCAGTTAAAAGACACCGATTGGCTGATTGGCTTAAGGAACAAAAGCCAACTATTTGTTGCCTACAAGAAACACCTCTCTCTAACAAAGATGCAAGCAGACTGAAAGTGAAAGGTTGGAAAAAGATATTCCATGCCAACAGAAACCAAAAAAGAGCAGGTGTAGCCATATTAATATCAGACAAAATAAACTTTAATACAAAAACTGTTGGGCCGGCACCGCAGCTCACTAGGCTAATCCTCTGCCTTGCGGCGCCGGCACACCGGGTTCTAGTCCTGGTTGTGGCCCCGGATTCTGTCCAGGTTGCCCCTCTTCCAGGCCAGCTCTCTGCTGTGGCCAGGGAGTGCAGTGGAGGATGGCCCAGGTGCTTGGGCCCTGCACCCCATGGGAGACCGGGAAAAGCACCTGGCTCCTGGCTCCTGCCATCAGATCAGAGCGGTGCGCCGGCCGCAACACACTGGCTGCGGCAGCCATTGGAGGGTGAACCAATGGCAAAGGAAGACCTTTCTCTCTGTCTCTCTCTCTCACTGTCCACTCTGCCTGTCAAAAAAAAAATAAAAAATAAAAAATAAATAGAAAAATAAAATAAAGAAAAGAGATGGAAAGGTGAGTAATTTCCACACTTTGCGTATCATGGGCTGATTGCCAAGGACACCTGCTATTGAGATGATGGATGAGCATTCATCTAGGAGCAGGTTTGCTGGTGTTGCTGGGAAGGATTTTGATTTCCTTGATGGTACAGATCGTGTCAGGCACATTTTCTCAAGCTTCATTGGTGTATAGTTTATATATTGCAAAATGCACCCATTCAGTCATTGTCAGTCTGTTTGCATAAGTGTGCAACCCAACCCCACAAGCTAATCTGAGGATGCTTTTATCACCCCAGAAAGAAAGCATACACCTAATTGCTGTCACTGGATCTAGTGTCACACCTAGTTTCATGTAGTTCATAAGTATGTTTAGGGTCAACTTTTCTTTTTAAAGATTTATTTTTATTTATTTGAAAGAGTTACAGAGAGAGGTAGAGACACACAGAGAGAGGTCTTCCATCCACTGATTCATTCCCCAGATGGCTATAAAAGCCTGAGCTGAGCTGATCCAAAGCCAGGGGCCAGGAGCTTCTTCGATGTCTCACACACAAGCGCAGAGCCCCAAGGACTTGGGCCATCTTTCACTGCTGTAGCAGAGAGCAGGATTGGAAGTGGAGCAGCTGGGACTAGAATCAGCATGCATATGGGATGCCAGCACTTCAAGCCAGGGTTTTAACCCAGCCCAGCCCCTAGGGTCACTTTGAAGAATGGCGCTTTGTCACTCCCCCTCTTCGCGGAGGAATGACACAGGACCCTGCGTTGTTCTTTCGTCTGCTCGGCGCTTCCCGGGTTTTCTGCTGGTTCTTCCCAGGTTGGCTACCATCCCTTCCACCTCCGTGGAAGGGCGGTTCCCCCTGCCACTTTCCCCACTTCCACGGGGGAGCGGCACACCGCCGGCCGGTTCTCTCGGGGGCTGCTCAGATGTTATCCGGATGTTCCCCTTAGATGTTCCTGGTGCATGTTGTCTCTCTCCTCCTTTATAGTCCTCTTCCACCAATCCCAACTCTGCTACCCACATGACGAGTATGCTGCTCTCCTCCAATCAGGAGCAGGATCAGCTCCTGCAGGTCATCACTCAAGTTGGAGAGAGGCAGCTGTGTAGAAGTTGTTTACTCCCTTCTCAGCGCCATATTGTGGGAGAGCAGATGCATAGAATAAGTCTTAATTCCAGTAACTTAG